ATTTGTGACCCTGGAGCACAAAACCAGTCATAAGGGTCAATTTTTTGAAACTGAGATTTATGCATCATCTGAAAGCTGAATAAATAATCTTTCCATTGATGTATGGTTTGTTAGGATAGGACAATATTTGGTCGAGATATAACTATTTGGAAATCTGGAATCTGAGGGTGCAAAAAAATCTAAATATTGAGAAAATCATCTTTAAAGTTGTTTAAATGAAGTTCTTAGCAATGCATATTACTAATCAAACATTAAGTTTTGATATATTTATGGTAGGAAATTTACAAAATATCTTCATGGAACATGATCTTTACTTAATATCCTAATGATTTTTGGCATAAAAGAGAAATGTATAATTTTGACGCATACAGTGTATTGTTGGCTATTGCTACAAATATACCCCAGCGACTTAACACTGCTTTTGTGCTGCAGGGTCACATTTTAGGAATAAGTTCTCTTGAACTGTCCATTTTAATAAATTAGCTCAAAACTCTTTTCCACTATGTGTCTATGGAAGCCACTGTATGGCAAGTATTGCTACAAAGATAAATAAAAATGATGCTAATAATTAAATATTCGTCCTTGTTTGAACGCTTTATTTTTAACTTTCAAGATCTTTAAAGCCATTTCAGCACAAATGCAGCTTTTTTCTCTCCAGACAGCTATGAATAGCTTTGACCCTTCGTCTCTCAGACCAAATAAATGGCTTAGCGTCCGTCATCCTCAGCAGGACGCGTTTACAAGTACTCTGAATCATTTACCCCCATGACACACAGATGCCTTTCATATTAGTCTTATCAGCTTGTGAGTATCTCGAAGCTGAAACGCTGCTGTGAGTGTAAGGTCAGTGTGCAAACAGCATCAGCACATTAATAACGCATCAGTATCGTGATAAACATTCAGGACTCGCAGTAAAATGTTTCGGTAACACTTTATTTTAAGGTGTCCTTGTTACACGTTACATATGCTTACTATTATAATAACAGTAAATTAGTGCTATCAAACGATTAATCGCATCCAAAATAAAAGTTTGTTTACATAATATATGTATGTACTGTGGACACAGATTGCATGGATTTCATGGTGCGTCTCTGAGGTCATTCGCTCTGCGGCAATGTTGAACTCGTGTCGTAGAGCTCTCAAATTTCACACATTTGGCACAAGCTCAGGTGACGTGTTGGATGGCAATCAAAGTCTTGAATAAAATTAGGGTTTATTTTGCAATAATGCAATACATTTACACAATTCTGCCTACTACACCAATTATTTATACAGTTTTGTGTCATTATACAAACATTTGACCACAGAAAGCTGTGATCGCCACAGTCAAGTACTCCAAAAGAAAAAAAAAACCTAATTTGCTCAAACTTACCCCACTCGAATTTATTCAAAAGACCCATCGATCTCTGTTGAGTGAGTTTCACATATGGACTATACTTGTTACCTCGTCAAATAAATATCTTGGGCAAGATGACGACGCAAGTTTTTTCTTAAAAAACTGATTCAGTTGTCACACGCCTGACAAAGTCCAACCGTTTCCAGATTACACAAAGAAGAAAGCAACACGAGTCTCTAGTAATACACAGCTTTAGGTTTCCTCTCAATAATCATACATAATTTATGATGTATTAGTGTTTCTTCAACTACAGGGACTAATGTCCCATTTGTGGTGTAATTAACTATAAATGTAGTTTTGTTCAAAATTTGTAGTTTAGAAATAATTATAATCTAAACCATACAAAATAGGGTTTCGACAAGCTGCACAAAACCACGATCATATTTTGCGCATGTTTTGCGCAGCTTGTCAGTGAACTACGGCTCTGTGTAGTAAATGCTGCTCCATGTGAAAGCACACACGTGATGGAGATTTACCGCTGATTACAGAACCGGCTTTACTGACAAGATGCGCATTAAATATCGCATGCGATTTATCGTGCAGCCCTAATACAAAAATATGAATCAAAAATAATTTTAAGATTAATATTACTGTAATATTATGTGAACTTGTTGATATAAAATAGGAGGCATAATAGGAGAAGAAAACCAAGATAAGGTTAATCTAAATATTTTGATCCACTCCAACTGTAATTGACAAATAATACACAAAACTGTGAAAATATTGGATCGTGTGTAGAGATGTAACGGTGTAACTTATCACGATTATAGTGACCTAAATTATCACGGTATTGTTAAAATGTACTGGAAATGTTCAAAAAGTACTGACACCTAAATCGTTTCAGCAAGCTTTGTATTTAAAATCAACAAAAAATAAACAATTACTTTGTTGCATAAGCACTATAACATTACCAAAGATGTCCGGATTTTAAAAGACAACATGACTGAATAGCATGTACGAAATGTTCAAATAAAGCTTTGAAAACGTTTCAAGAAAAGGGTTAAGTCAAAATTATAATTTAATAATAAATAATTATATGTATCTAATCTGCTCCATAAATAATTCTAGATAG